ATGATGTATCTCGGCTTACACTCAGTCACCGAGCTCCATGGGCACATTGCTCAACGTTTCTTGATACGTTCGAATATTGTTTACGCTGAGCAGCCGAAAACAAAGGCGAGATCCATCCTGGCTCTCCTGTGACGAGAACATCTCAACATTTGAAAGATGTTGAGGTGTTCTCGTCATCACCTCCTCCCCAATCATTTGCTCCGTCTTGGAATCCTGCTGCTTCTAAGGGCCTTTCAGCAAATGGTGCCCTTTCCAAAGTATTCATTCGTTGAATGATGGGAAGACTGCTGATAACGAACTGAGTCAAATGAGTGTGTCCGTTCTTGCATTCCGCAGTTTTCCATGTATTCTTCCCGTAGCCCACCTACTTCACCCTGTCTTTTACGTCAATCTTACACTGCGGGGTTGTTTTTTTGGGAAGGTTGTGGCTTGAGTGCAGGGCTGATCAATCATTAGGGTTTACTTCGTCACCTCTGCTGCCGCTTCCTTGTCTCAGACTCCTCGGCTTGGTAAAGCTTGAGGCGCTGTCAGCAACAGTACTTAAGATGCCAAAGATCACTTGGATCTCTTCCGGAACCAGGTTTGTGCCACCACGAGAATGCCGCTTCTGGGTCTTCCTCTTCGGGGTGAAGATAGGCAACCATTTGAGCTGCGACTGTGAGCATACCTAAGTCGATAAAGTCATTATTTGCTTAACAACGGTGCGTGAGTATCATGGCATCGACAGAACACTAATCAGAAGTTCTAAGGTTTGGACAGTAACATACGCAAATCAGTGTCCAAAGCCCTGCCCACGACAGGAAAAAATTGTGCTCCAAGATGGAGCACAAGTTTGAAAGAGGACATGAGAATGTAGTAGCCAATCTGTGTAAATACATGTCAGCAAAGCAGTTCAAAAGTTGTGACGGCGTGATGGTCTGGTCACTTTTGGCTTACCTGTGCTATCATAGGCATTGCCACTAGGACTGTAACAGTCAGCTCATTGACAAACCATTGTCAAAACAGCATGTGCCCGCCGTTTACCATCCTTCTGGTACTCGGACCCAAGTTCCTGTCCCATTTGCGCTTCGATCTGTAATACAGCCATAATTTGTAATCCGGCCTTGTGCTTGAGCTGCCTCGATCTTGCTGTTCGAGAAGCATGAGTAGCGTATGTCAAGTTGAATTTCGCGAAGTATATACTCTTTGCACGCGATCTTACACTGTGAAACGCTGTGATCTTTGTTTGTTATGCCCTTCCACAGTGTACGGTTGTTTGCATACATATTTCGCACAGCAAAGGACAAATGTGTTCTGTACAGATATGGCGAAAGAGGCAAACATTAACCTGGAAACATTCTACGCGCTGAACCCCGCTGTTGGTACGAATTGTGGAGGGTTATATGGCCTGTGTATACATACTATGTTGCTACTGGTGATTAACAACGATAATGCGGTAGCAATCACCGGTGTAGGACGTACTGATACTGTAAATATCGTTCTACAACACCTGGCTGGCTAGCGCGTCTGGCGCTTTCTCAAAAGCAATGTTAAATAAGTAATATCAGGATATTGTTCTTAGTGTTCTTTAAGGTTATGGTCAAGGACCTAACGAAATTTTGTGCACCTGTGCGTCCAGGGGGCGGCCAGGCTTAACTGTTCGGATAGAGTCAATTCCCCCGCCTGTTACTGTATCGAAGTGCAGCCACTTGAATACAAATATCTGTGTCACCAAGAAAATTTTTGTTTCCCACAGCGCTTCCTACTTCTCTCATTAAAGTATTTCTCATCATGGATCCGGTCTATTCCCACGATGAAACTATAGCAGCCATCAAGGACTACTTCAACTTCCTTATCAAAATGTACATGGACCCAACTTACATCGAAAAGCCTCCAGAAGGCAGTTGGCCAAACATCACCAAAGATAAATGAGAAACTTGAAGAAAGACGACGATGTCATTGCTTTTCTGCGTCACCTACCTCGCATTCTACTTGCAAAAAGGCCAGAGGTCCTCCCCGGCTGCTTGTTGATGGACTGGAAAGTGAGCGTAGATGAGCTGATCAACGGAGAAACCGACGGCGAAACCCTCCGCACTATGTCCCAAGGCTGGGATTGTCAGTTCAAAGGGAAAATCCCGACACATTGCATTTGGTCCCACGTCAATCGGTCGCGATGAGGATGTCATTATAATCGATACTGGTGACGGAATGGTGTATTGGCAAGTTTGTCCACCAAAGGTTAAAGGATTTGCATCCCCACAGCCTGGTGATTCAAACTATCCTTTAAAAGGAGACGTAGAGGTACCTGAAGACCACAATGAAGTGACTTCACCGACGTGTGACGATGAACAACAAAGCAATGAAGAGCAAGAAGGCGACAACGAAGATTCATCTGATGACGGGGACCCATTACGTTGAGGGACAGGTTAGCATATGCGCCATTTCTTCGAAATGCTGAAAAATCACTTTCGCGAGCTCAACTTCGTTCCTAAGACCTCTAGTATCGTCGTCGATACCTGGCAAACTAAGGATTGGACTGGAGACCCGCTTCCAAAGGGTATTCTGACACTTATCAGTCTATATATTGCAAACATGGCTGGCCTGACCTGACAAAGTACGATAAGATAGCGTGCCTTGCTGAGATTGAAACAGAGCTAGACGAGAAGTATCCTCAGCATGGAAAATTATTGTGAAGATTTAGGTAGAAATATTGATCCTAGAATATGGTATGTTTGGGGTCGGAACTCGGCTGAGAAACAGATTATTTGAACAATTGTCATATCTCCCTTGTCTTCTTGTATATCGGCGTCAAAAGTGTGCAGTAGAAATAAGGTTGCCTAACGGCGAAGAAACACTACCCTGACTTCGGGACGATATGTAGGGGGAGAATTTCCTCCTAGCATAGAGGTTTATTCGCTCTGATATTGGAGTGTGTTTTGGGCGTGAAGGCCGATATCAAGTTTTGGACTGTATGCTCATCAAAAAGGCAAAACCTACAGGGCGAGTTGCGGCTTGACTGGAACAATCACTAAGACAGTAGCATTCCATTATCTAACGTGCTTAGCTACACTAAGACTTACCAAGGCAATCTCTATCCAATAAATTTATCGTTTCTGAAAGGACATTCTGTAATATATGATATTGTCGTTTGTAATGATGACTTCTGCAATTCGGCCTTATGGTCATGGCTAGCATCTCTGCTGCTGAATGCTTCTTTTCCATGTGGTTAACTCGATTACAACTTCAATTCGACAACTTTCTCTCGATGGAAAAAATGCACTCTTGTAACAAAAAAGTCAAAACATTTTTGTTACCATCACGAAGTTCCATCAAACCTGTACATAGACTCTACCTTCATAAGAGAAGCACAAGCATTCAGCTGGTCTAATGTTACCGATGAAGTAACGAGAGGCTTTGAGAGGCCAGGCAGCGTCATCGCGGTCCTTCGTCATTCACCATAGATTGTCAGACGCTGGATTCGAAAACCTCAAGGACTCAACTACTAATCCATGCCACCAGCTTGTGCGCTGTTATGCAAACTGGAAGCACCATTCTTTGAAAACTATTGTCATGCGCTTCAGATCCAATGGTTACAGTATGGATGAGCTAGCATGAAATAAATCTGGAGGTTACCACCTTTTCATAAGGGTCTCAGCTAGGTACTTCGAGCCTTGTGCTACTCTAGGAAGTCCTATTCGCTCCTTAGTCAGATGACTCTTCTTCTCCACATTGTATTAGAAGTCTTTAGGAGATCTTGGATACGGATTTTGGGGCATTAAGCTCATTTTCAGTGCTCTGTCTACGGTGTACGAAAGGGCTAAGTGCAATAAAATCATGATGGACTACACAGCACGTTTTATTAGGGGCAGGCTTTTACGCTGATACATGGAGGCACCTACCACTACAGCTTACGATGCCCAGGAGAAGGAATACATGGAGGCCGGTGCTCCCGATGTCGAAGACAAGCACCTTGCACGAGGTGCATGTCGTTTGGGTCGCCATCCACCGTCTTCTGGACCGTTGGTCGGCCACTTTTCCGGTGCCTCCCGCCGACTCGAATTCCTATCCGGTCGATTTCACGCGAGAGGAGAAGAGGAAATTGTGGCATCATTGCAAGCAGTTCGTAGAAGAGAACACACATCTGTGTACTAAGAATACGCAAAGGGACGCTATTCTAGAGGCTGTAGGCAAAGCTCAAAGAAACCTGGTCCATTGATAAGGGCAATATGACGTCTGTCGTGGAAATTGTCTTCAACGAAGCACGCTACAATAGAAATGTAGAAATGAATCCTCCCGCTCCCGTCCTCGCTCCGTCAACGGCTCCGTCACGAGCCTGGCTCCGACAACCACTTCAACGACTACTTCTTCAACGACTACTTCAACGGAGATTGTACTAGAAGTCGAAGCTGCACAAACAACACGTAAGAGGGCCCGTTTCGTGGCTGAATCGGATGAAGGTGAAAATGTACTTCCTACTAAGATTGCGAGCAATGAACGAGGTCGTGGGAGCTTTCGAGGTAGACGTCGCAACAGACGCTCCCCCTACCGCAGTTACCTACTATCCCAGCCCTACCAAGAATTGGAGCCAACACTTCGCTTACCTCGGTTGAGGAGGATGTAGAAGACTAATGACATCTATGATTAATGAGTATCATGGAATTTGCTGTAACTGCCATGTATTCTACTAAGATGGTCTGTTCTTAGAATGTCTATCACGACCTAGTTCATCCTCTCAACTATTGTATCCTCTTGACTGTATTGTGTTATGTTGTTGTGTCGTTGTTGTCGTTATAGCTGTCTGTCTGTATTGCTGTCTTCTTTTAACTACAAATGCATTTCTCAGAGCTCGCAGGTTCGTCACATTCCAGTCTTGGCATGGAACCAAATTTTCCTCCCAAGCGATGCTATGAACCCCACACTCAAGCTCCACCTAGTTTCCTATGCACTCACCACCTCTATTAACAGACTACGCTTTTCAATCATAGATATATATTATTTATTTTGTTAAATTAATCAAAACAGGCTCGGTGGTGTAGTTGGTTATCACGTCAGTCTAACATCGCTGTTAGGTCCACTGAAGGTCCCGAGTTCAAGCCTCGGCTGAGTCAATTTTTTTGCTCCTTCCTGATCTAGGTCTATTTGTGCTCTGTCGGATCCCGCGTGACTGTTTTCCATTACGTACTCTGGAAGTCTGATCCCACTCAACGAGCATAAGCAATGCCCTTGTGTCATCACGTCAGTCTAACATCGCTGTTAGGTACACTGAAGGTCCCGAGTTCAATCAAGCCTCGGCTGAGTCATTTCTTTGGTTCTTTTTGCTTCATCCTGCTCTCAGTCAGGCATTGGCCAATGGTTGTTGGGGAGCCTGGAAGCGTATCGGTACTGTGCGCGGCAAACCACTAATTAATTTTAAAGCTAAATAAGCGAGGTGTGCAAGATGTTCTTGATTAGGTAATGTCCTTCTGGACCATCTTAATTTTCGACTACCAGTTGCGAAATGAGCCATCTTAAAGTGACCTACCTCTGATTTTATACATAGGTTGTTTTTGCTCATTCTGGCAAGCGTAGCGGTCTTACAGACAAACACGATGTCAACGTTTGAATTCAACCGTGTGAAGGATTTGCCTGGTAAGGATGGCTTCACTACGGAACAATCAGCTATGTACCTGATGTGACCGTTCGGGAACTTATAAATTGATTAGCAGGCAAGCGATTTGATATGCGTATAGCCATGCTATGATCAACTAACCTCAATGCTCCACTAGTACCATGGTTGTAATGGTGAACCATAGTTTGCAGATATAATGGTGCCTATAACTTCTTGACCACAAGAAGTATAAAAGGATCGTCTCACATATTTCGGATATTGAAATTTAATTTATTGTCTGAACGATATCGCCCTGAGCGTCGATCACAGCTAGTTCAAGACGTTCTTAATTCACCATCCTCACAATGGCGGTTACATTACTGTAAGACTTTATTTTGAGATGATGTAGTTTACAAAAACTAATAATCTTTGATTTGATTCTTAGAACACTTGCGTTCACGGCTCTTATCATGCACGCTGCCGCGGTGTCTGTCACGTGTTCAGAAGGCCCATATGATACAACCGACGAGCTTATCGCAATGTTGACAATTCTTATCATACTCCTTGTGCTAGCCTGGTTTCTTACATCCTACTGTTACTGGTCGGCCAAACAGGAATCTAAGAAACCAGTGAGTGTAGGTTTTGATCCCTTTTTTGGATTCTTTCCTAAGTTGACCTCAAAAACAGAGAATTCCCTTACAGGATCTTGGAAACTCTAGGATGAATCAGGGTTGCGATCACATACCAATTCCTGAAACGGCGCATCTGAAGGAAGTACTCAACTGGCCGCTTCGTGTAAGTTCACTCCTCAGTAAAGAGTACGTTTGATGTCATCTTCTAATAGTGAATGCAGGATTAGTCTGCTTGGTAAAGATCCAAGGCACCGTGGGTACATATTGCATTCAAATTTTCGCTTCCATTTCGACATCCTACTCAAAATCAGCGATAACAACTAAATCTTACGATGCCGCGCGGATTGAGTGCCATCGAATGGCTATATAATCCTTTCATATCAGCCTATATCACTTACGAATAGTCTGCTTGTACTTCTTTATCTTAATCTTTCTTCTCATAATACATTTCGAAGCTGATAGCTTTGATAGGCTTTGCCATAGGCCAAAAAGGAAACTTAAGCAGAGCACCTTTCAAAAGAAGAAGCCAGCTAGATTCTTATAATTCGTATCTTTCTGGAATCAATGCTTGCATCACTGTACTAACATTCTTGCATACGAATTCGGAATTCTATACACTTTGCATTCGTGAGTACAAAAGTTTATAGCTGAGCTATTTAGATGCGCGCACCAGCCAAGCTCTGAGACAGAGTCATAATGCAAGATCGGGTCGGATTTCAGCTCGAGATGGTCCTACCACCTGGACCGATCGCCTCATGCAAGGGCTTATATTAGACATAAGTCAGAAACAGGGCGATTCGGTGGTGCAATTTTCAATATAGATTCCATTAATTCGCATCTAGAGTCCCCTTGGAATAGAAGACCAGAAGCTGAACCTATGTCTGAAATGTAAAATAAATAGTATTCACCCCGTTACACGAGCACCACAAGGATATCTATGCAAGAAAGAAACACAATGAGATTTTGAGGACACATCTTCTATCTCAGCACGCTGTTGAGTAGCATCCCACATGTTTGCCTTGCAGTGTTGGAGAAAAACCCACACGTAGCCTCTCTACTCGGCTGTATGGCATCCAATATCGTGTCCGACAGTACATGCACAGCCATGAGCTGCTTAGAAAGAAGACAAAACATCTGTTCCCGCTCATCCACCTTCTCTTATTGCATGGTCAACGTTCTCTTATGTGACCAACCTCCTCTTCCTCAGGACGCTTATTGTTTGGCTCTACCAGCACTTCGCGTTGCATTCGACGTAGCTTGGCCATTGTCACCTCAAATCCCTTCAATGAACCCACTATCCTCTTCCATCTGTCAAAGCTTCTGTATCTAAGCGATGGTGTCAACGTCCCGGCATCTTTTGACAGAAAGTATATCCACCTTCAATCGATATCTTGACGTAATCAGGGTTTGCCTAGAGGTGGGCGGCCCCCTCGTCCGTATACAGCGAATAAAGCAGCGACTTTCGGTCAGATATTGTAGCGGGCGGATTAATACTGATTGCCAGTCTCTTAAGGGAGATTGTTCACGAGGAAGTCGCAGCGAGGGTGGATAGGCTAAGCATGGTTCGCAGATCTAGTCAATCTTTCTGTTAGCCTTGAAGACTTGAAGCCTACAATCACTTACCAATTCCAGGCTCGAGGCTGGCATCCGGCGCCAATGACTTCCCACTGGACTCTGCCTGGCAGAAATTCACGAAATATAGCATTTCGCACTGAGTCCGTTCATCTTTGACCAAAACGCGGCTTCTTCTGGTAGATGCAACATGCTGTTTGACTGTGGCCGGACCTTGCTGTTCCATCACCGAACAGGCGACGGCGAAAGAGTCGATTGGACTAGAGCTGACGACATCGCGCAGCTCGGCGGTATGTAGACCGCGCTTGTGCTATACTGGCTCTTTGAATGCAAAATTAGCTACGCTCATACCCAAGATGAAAACAAGGTACTCGCGGACGTAACCAAATAGCTCGAATTTCCACGTCGAGTTCCAACACGAGCTGTTGCTCCATTGCCTCGAAGCACTAGTTGTTGGTAGACAACAATGGAGGTCGTGTCATGATGCTCATATTCAGACTCAAAGCGCTGATTGGTGTTTAAATAGCTGATCAAGTGTGTCAAAGCTGCCGTGTCGTGATTCTACTTATACTGTAGGCCAAGCATTGCTTCTCGCTTGGAGGTGGGCTGGCCGCTGAGATGTTCTGATCCCGACTGGGATCACTTGTCCGTGTAATTTCATGAAGCGAATGATATACTCGAGTGCTTCCGTAAAGCTGAAACATATGCCAGAAACAAGGTCAGCTTATGTTTTCCAGAGGTCGTCATCAACTTACACACTTGAGGCCATGGCTGGATAAAATGCGGCCAGAAAGGAGGAATGGGTTTCGTTTTTCTCCTTTTTTTGTCTTTGCCCTCCATTTTTATTCGCAAGGATTCTGGTGTTGTCGCCCGTAGCCCGGTGCCATATAGGTGGCGATGCGACCCGCGAAGACATCTAGAGCCCTTACGAAGATGCCCAAAAGGACCATTTCAAAGATATAACGAAGATGAAATGCTTTGATAAGATGCATTCTAGCGGTGGTGAAAAGTTGTGTTTTAGCGATGGTTAATGTATGATAACAATACTTAAGGAGAAAGCATCAGTGCCTTGGGAAGGTGCTCTTTTTGTTGGAGCTGTCATATCCGCAACTTCTCTGTGAGAAATACGACGAAACCAAAACATACATAGCAATATCATCATGAGAAGTTGCTCTGGAATCGAGTTTGCAGCTGCAATTAGTACTTGAAGAAGAGCGCTTAACATGATCGACAAACTAAAAGACAGTACTGCAGCAAAACCAAACAGCTAAGCACATCACTATGGGTCGATTAAAGACTGCGCTTATACAAAGCAGCATTGACATTTGCAGACAAATTTGCATCAATTGCTCCTTAAGTTTGTTCATCTCGCCGATCATTGTTTGTAGAGGATAATAGTATTTTTTTCAATTCATGACTCTGAGGAGAAGATTCTCTTGAAATCTCCTGGACTGCGTGTGGACGACTACTTGCACTATTGATTAAGCTTAGGTTTTGATATTCTCAAGGAGTTGAATACACTCGGGGGGCTCCTTCTGCTTTGAGATGAAGGGTTCGCCGGTCCCGATTTCAAGCGTTGGCTGAAAGACTTTTGCTTCTTTCCACCTGGGTATACTTTCAATTTCTTTTGCTCTAAAGAATTACGGAATTGCAGTGGGATAGCCGGTATGGCCCGAAAGCGAATCGGGGCTGTGTGCGCGGCGAAACCCCCAAATTCCGAAGCCAGTTAAGCGAATTATGCATGCACCCTTAGTTCGACAACGAGCACATAAACGTTGATTTTCGATCACTGTGTATGAAATTAGTAATTTGCAAACGAGGTCAACTTCAATGATAGTCGTTTGTGTCGATGTCGTAGACTGCCAATCAACTTTTAGCATCACCACAGCCCACTTTTGACAACTGACAACGACACCTTTCACCGACCCCCTGCCATATTCACCACTTGTTATATCAAAATGGCGTCTTCCGATAATCTGACAGAGCTGAAGACGCCGTCGGCATGTATCGCAGACTTTTGCCTCATTCCTCTTGGCACGCCGACGGCTTCCGTGTCCAAGGAAGTCGCAGAAGTGCAGCGTCTGCTGAAGAAGAGTGGACTAGAGTACTCCATGCATTCTGCGGGTACTACTGTCGGTATGTTTGTTCTAGACCACATCACACCGCCTCTGGTTTCCCACTTGAGCTGTTGGAAGCGCTGGTTGGAGTGGAGCTAATCATCAGTAGAGGGCTCTTGGGACGATGTAATGCGGGTTATTGGGCAGTGTCATGCTATGCTCCACCAGAACGGCATCGTGAGGATTCAGAGCGACATCAG